TGAAATCCACGTGCTGAACTGAAGAAATTATGCCATCCTAACAGAAAAGTCAAACATTTTACTAGCTATGAAAACTCAATGATTAATTCTCAATATAGGTGTATGACTGTCCAGCCATTTAAAAAAAGTTACTATAAATCACCTGGGCTTGGAGACCTCCCTTTTAAACAATCCTTCCAAGAATCCTTCCCCTTTATAAAAACATAAAAACCCTAGTATTTTCAGGCACCCTAGGTAAATGCATGTCAGATTCAAATTCCTGTATTTTACTTTGCCTATTTAGCGTCTATTTAATTTCATTCATCTTCCCAAATAAATCGTCAGTCATACACTTCATAGCAGGCATGAATAAACGATAATTGTTCAGTTCATTGAGCAGAAATAGTGACCTACTAATTCAAATACTTTAGATAATCCATTGATTTCTCACCAGCCAGACTTCTCTCACATTTGCCAGTTTTTTGCATTCCAAGAGCTCATTTTAGCAGGAATCTAGTTCAGCATTGTAGTTGTACTTCAGGAAAAAAAAAAAAACTAAATCAGTAACTGCATCCAGTTTTGCTAAGTACAGGTCATATTCTGGCACACTGTACTCAACAGAAAGTTTATGAACTTAAGATGAAACTTCAAATAAAAACACTACCACAGAATCAGTGGGTCTAAATAAAACGGAGATGTCTACGTTTAAAGCTTCCTCTCCACTTTTGTGGAGAAGTATTTAATAGTGGTTCAGAAATATCTTGTGTATACTTTGAAGGAATTTTAAGAATGACTTGATTAAAGCTTTCAAAATCGAATTACTAACACTTCCCATAACAACCAAGGACTTCCAGCTACACTAAGTGTGTTATTATATTTACAGTATCAAACGTTAGGAAGTGATTGAAAGGAAAGGTGGGGATCTTTCTTTGCCTGGTTTCCTATAGAAAGGAGGCTTATGCAACACTCTACGTATATGCATGCAATTCATTTTCTTGTCCTCCAATTCCTTTTGCATTTGGTGGTCAATACAAATCAAATTTGACAGGATAAATATCTCAAAGATACTAGGTTTCTACAAGCTCTGGGAAAACAAGTAAGCAGGGTAAAGAAGGCAGAAATTGGCAACAGAAGCTCTGTCCTTATTAGAAATCTGACAATTTACACAAGACAGAGAATATAAAGGTAAAGGCCATCTAGGACAATAACTTTTGTGGCCCTTCCCTGGTTACCCCCTCCAACGGGTCCATATCATTCCTGTGCTGAGGACTCCAGAGCTGGATGCAGTACTGCAGGTGGGGTCTCACGAGAGCAGAGCAGAGGGAGAGAATCACCTCCCTCAACCTGCTGCTAGTGCTTCTTTTGATGCCCCCAGGACACCATTGGCTTTCTGGGCTGCAAGCGCGCACTGCCAGCTCATGTTGAGCTTCTCATCAGCCAACACCCCCAAGTCCTTCTCCTCAGAGCTGCTCTCTACCCACTCTCCTCCCAGCCTGTGTTTGTGCTTGGGATTGCCCTGACCCAGGCACAGGACCTTGCACTTGGCCTTGTTGAACTTCATGATGTTTGCACAGCCCCCCCTCTCCAGCCTGTCCAGGTCCCTCTGGATGGCATCCCTTCCCTCCAGCGTGTCACCACACCACACAGCTTGGTGTCATCGGCAAACTTGCTGAGGGTGCACTCGATCCCACTGTCCATGTCTCCCACAAAAATGTTGTTATATTTTTTTTAACGTGAATATAATTATAATAATTTAATAACTCAATATTAATTAAATCTACAAGTTAATTTAGTGAAGAACAAGCACCCATCTTGAAACTGTGAAAACAGACTTTTTTGGCTTTAATCAGTATTCAAAAATGTGCACAGGACATCTTTCAAATACTGCCCTGTCTATCTACTGCAGCCCATATCATCTCTCTGTATAGGTATGTTACGTTCCCTCTCTATATATTACATATTTATACAGACATATAGCAGTAATTTTGCCACCGCCCAGACAGAAGAGCTATAATTCTATGCCTGGGTACCAGTCCACTTCTCATTGAATTAACAGGGAAACGCTGCATTACTGTGCATAGGAGAAGCAGGTAGATGGAAGAATTGAGGTAAATAAAAAAAAATATTCTTTCTTTATGACGTTGCTTGTTCACAGCCACATTATACAAAAATTAAACCACATATTCTATTATCTTACTCTGGTTTTGAAGCCTCTGTGGTTAAGGAGATTTATAAATAACTACAATTTAAGACTTAAAAACAGAAACCTTGGAGTTTTACAGATAGATACCATATAAGTAGCAGTTTTGCTCTTTTCCCATGCTTCATTTTTGGCAAGGTCTCAGCAGCCATTAACTAATAAAGTGAACTCAAGATCAATGTTTTAAATCATTTTACAGCTGTGATTACAAACTGGTTTCATTTAATACACAGGGTTGGTTTCTAGCAGTTCTCAAGGGAGCGACCGCTGAGATCATGCCAGACTTGAAAAGGGTAAATTCAAAATCACCACCTGAGTAGCATGATTTTAAGATACAACCTCTTTCAATCTCCAAAGACTATGCATAGGTGCTTGCTATCAATGTAGGAGTCTCAGTTTTCTGCCAACTTAAGGCATCTGTAGCTAGAGGCTTGATGATGAAGAAATACAAGGCGCATAAGGATCGTTGCCCCTTTTACCTTGAATGCTTTTGTAGCATTGGCAGCATTACAGGTCTTAGATGTATAATCAGTGTGGTATTCCTGGTTTGAAAAGGTGACACAAATAATGAAAAAACTCAGACAGAAAGGAGGTGAAATTAAAAGAAAGGAAATAAAATGAAAAATTGTGGGAGAAAGGGACCCAGAAAAATTAGAAAGGAGAAGAATCACAGACACTCTATTTTTAGTTTAATAAGCTAGTCACCCATTCGTGATATTCCAGCATATTATATACCCGTAAAAAAACAGTGAAAGAAAGGATACTTTATCTTGAATACTTCAGGTATACTACACCTAGTATTTTATCTCTAGAGTATAACAAGTAGGTAAACATTTGAAAACACAGGCTGGCCTTCAAACCAGCAATGTCAGGCACGCTATATCTAAAACCAAACAAAACAGACCTCTGCTGTATGTAGGTTCATCTCAAAAAATAGTAACTTTTTCAATAAACTTTTAACAGTTGAGAATTAATTAAAAAAAATTTAGTAATATCTTATTTTCTAACTCAAAAAACAAAATGCTTACTCACTAGTTCATTTCTTAGTATCCCACTCTAGGCAATGAAATTGTTTTAGAGAGAAGCCAAATATCTGCTTAATCACAAAAAAAACCCCCCAAATTTAGGTTAAACTTATTTGATAAACTGAACGAGTGAAGTAAGCAGTAGTAAACATAAATGAAACCTAAAAATGAACTTTTCATTTTTGGAGCAATGTGGGTTGCACTAAGTAATTGAAAACACATCTTGATGTCGACTTCAAATTAAAAAGTGGAAGAAGCGGAGATGCACAGAAATCCTTCTTTTGCTTTTAGGACATTAGTTCTAACTTATAATTTTATCAATTCTGCACTCACACACACAGAACCCAAACAACAGCAACGCTGATATTCATGGCATTTCTAGCTTTTGAACAATAACATTTTCTTTTAGGAGACTATTCTGGTGGGATCATTACTGCAGAAAAGATAACATTCAAGGTGAAGAATAACCAAGACTGAAGAACAAGACTGGCTACCAAGCTGAGCAGGTACCAGACACTAATTTTCAAAACTCAAGTACAATACTACTTCTGCAGACTACATGCATACTTTTGCACACTGGTAATTAACACAAACTAATTATCATCTCTTCATGCAAATAGCTGGGTTTGAATGTCAAATATTCAAAATTACAAAAGTTTCTCTAGTGAATTACCTGTTTGTGCTTTGTTGACTGGCACAGGTAAAATCAACCTCAAGAAGAAGCAAATCATATCATTTCTGATGTTGATATAGCAGAACAGATGTTCAATACAGTTAGGAGAAGTATATACTTAGTACAGTCTTTCCAGGCAGAAAATAAAGAAAATTCATACATGAATGGTAAAAATAGAACCATAAATGGTAAAATAAATTAAGCAGAAAGTAGTCTTAGCAATGAATCCATTGTTTTACTACCAGTGATAACACGGCAACCCACACAATATTCAGCAAACAGATTTTCTGGTTTTAGTCCTTTTAAATCTCAAAATAATAATTAAACCCTACCACTAACGGACAAGACTGTAATCTCAGTTTCAGCAGATAACATCTTGAAGTACTTAATGATTTTCTGGAAATAAACACAAATGCAAAGGAAAAGATAATTTGTTCAGTATCTTTCAGAACGATTACTAAAGGTCTTAGCTGGACAGTCACTTTTTTTGGGATGATCTCCTACTTTCCTACATGCAGACAGCACTATAAATAGCCTAGAAAGCCATATAGTCTTTATCAGTGATAACAAAGTTTAACTTCAGCCCTCTTAAGTGGCCTGGAGATATTTCTAAATGTAATAATTTACTGAACTCCAGAAACAGAAGTGCCAACAAATGCATTTTCTATGGGAGAGTGATTTTGACAACAGTGAATTTTAACTGTTTATGTACAGATCTTGACTTCCAGATGTCAGACTAAGCGATGTGAACAGACTGACTGAAAGAGATTAATCACAGTGCATACAGTATGATAAAATTATGGACTTAAATATCAAGGCAAATAGCAGATATTCTACTGAAATCACATCTCCTTTATCTCATTTTAGAAAATGTATTACACAAAACTATCAGGGCCCCAAAGATAGTACCTAAACGAAAATGAGAATAAAATTAAACATATACTTCAAAATTGCAAGTTTGATTATTTTTAATTAAAAAGTTGCCATTTGCTGGGAGAATATTTCTTTAGAACTCAAAAGTTGTTCCATAATATCTGCGCAGCCGATGCTGTTCAATCGTGGATGCATGTTATTGAGGGAGGTTGCAAAGGCAGAATGTCTAGTTTCAATTAAGTGATCATACCTGTTACTGTTTTTGTTTTGACAGGACTGCTGGCATACTCAGAGGCTTGATTTGATTGCTGCCTCGCCAAAGGTGCACTTCCAACTGATGCTTCATCCTCTTTCTTTCGAGTTACTGACACACCAAGGGGAACAGTTCCTACAGACTGCTAGAAAAAAAAGTGGTTTTGAGAGGTTCACAAAGCAAAACACATTAATATTGAATTATGAAATAGTCATGATAAGCATGTCTTAAACTACATATTTTGAAATGTACACAAGACAACTTGAAACCATGATTGAAGCACATGTATTCTGAAAACAATTTATGAAATGCTACATTCAGACATGCACTTGCAATTCTTCATTTTAGTCCTGTTAGTCTGAAGAAAAGCTCTATGACAACAAAAAAGACTTTATTAACTTACAATACCATGCTTGTTAGCCAGTCAGAATGCACATGAAGAAACCTGGATGATCACCAAAGCAAAATAATTATCTAAAAGTTTAATGAAATCTGGAAAATTTTAGCCAGACATGAAGATCTCGAAGTTTTGCAAAGAAACTTATCAACCTTCATTAAACTCCAAAAGAAAAGATGCATTGTTATTTATACATTATTATATTTGTTCCTCACATTTTAAATATAAATTTTAATTCTGACCACTACTGATTTTCAATTGTTTTGTCTTTCAAGCATATCAATAAATGACAAACTGCTCAAAATACAATATTGTTAAACAAAACTGAAGGCATTAAAATCTAGTTGAAATCCTGCATCCCTACTTTAAAGGTTAGAAAAGAGTGATGTCTACTAATCCCCACGGGTTCTGGATCTGGAGGTCCACAGAAGAATACAGTCTATTAGCCTTGTTCTTACTTATCTTACTTATGCAAGCTAGAAAAGACAAAATAATTTAAAAAATGGGATCCTCAATTTTGCTGTACAGTTGGCTGCTAACACTTTGCTGCAGTATTAGCTGCTACGTAAGTTGTAGATGTATCCCAGCTGACAAAAGCAGAATACTTCTACCATTGATTTTTGCAGAGGGTTATCACTTAAAGATGACAAATTTTTTTTTTTTTCTAGAGATCAGACATTAGGATTGCATGCATCTTAATCAATTTTTGTGTAATTTAATTTTCTTGGTATTGGAGAGAAAATGTAATCCATATAGCTGGGTAATGAGAAACCTCACACGTTGCATTAGGAATCTCTGTGGGAAACACATTCGTGTGAGGCGGGCAACTTGCTTGTAAATTTTCTCCAATAGAAACCAGATCACTGAATCAAACAGTGTGCAACACTTGCACACATACAAAACCCCAAAACAAACAGAAAAATCACTTAATTGAAGGAAAATGACTTCCAAACACCCTCACCATTTTCCACTATAAAAGTAAATTCAAATAAGAAAGACAATCAACTAATTAATCCTACTCCAGTGAAAACAATCAACTTCTATATACAGGGGTACGCAAAGTTAATAGGAAAACACTAATGTCAATGACAAACAGAACTCCCTCGTCCTCCCTCTGCATGTACACTCAACAGCTTTGTCTCCAAAAGCACTAAAAAAAAGTCATTCTGGAATACAGTGAGATGACACTTTGGTGTCCTCTAGCCATAACAACAACAAAAAACCCCATCAGCTTTGAAAAGACAAGTTTTACACCACAGAAATACTTCCCACATGCATAGAGTCTCCAGTTTTGTAAACTTTTGTTAGACACATGACATCACTTATTTTCAAAATTTAGCAGTTTATCGGATACAACCTTTCCCAAGGCAAAGCCAACTACAGCTTTCCCATGAAGGCAACTGTTGAGCTATGATTTGGCAATCCTGGATGTAACACTGCAGGAACATTGACGTGCCAAAGTGGAGCAAGAAGAAGAAACACAGACAATAGAAGATAGTACAAAAGACAATAGGATAGAAATACTGTCCAAAGAAATACTGTAACTATTTCTGCACCACCGAAGAAATAGATCAGCAACATATAAGTTACACCACTAGTCATACAGTGAAAAACATCAAGGCTATCGCAGCCAGACAAAGCTGGAAAAAATTATGACCAACTATCAACTGTTTGAGTGCTGATCTGGACAATGAAACAGCTGTTTCATCTTTGCTGCCTGAAATCAAGCCTGATGTTGCTGTTGATGACGCCCAGTACAATCTTGTCAGGTTTTTGGCAAAAAGATTTCTGGTTAAAAGAATGCAGAAGATGAAAGATCAGCGTTGAACTAGATGGAAAAGGATCATCAAGATTTGGGTTTTAGCCACAAACTGATGAGGAAACTGTGGCTTGGGAAATAGCAGATGACAAGAGCCCCACAGCTGTACGAGAAGATGAATCTGATGGGAAAGGAGAAATTGCAGGGAAGTGTTATCATAGGCATTTAATCACAAGAATCCAAAAAGCCAGTGATAAAAAAAAAAAGTAGTAAAGTTTAACAGTTTAACACACACCTACTTGGGATGTAAGCTTTATGGTTATAACTGGTAATGTTATAACAAAGATAAATAGAGAACATTTAATAAAGTTATGGAACTACGGCAACATTTATATGAGACGGTTTTGTTGACACCAAGTCAAAATCAGATTCTGTCCTAGAACACTGACCACAGTTTTATCAGTGCAATAATGTTTTGTGGCTATTATACACTGAATACTAGACTAATAATAATTCATGCTACTCAAAATAAGAAAATTTACTACTTTTCTAGTATAATTATTACACGTAACACTTTAAGCGATGCCTAAAATACTACAGGAAAGCTACCTGTGTACACAAACCCCACACATCCATATATGCTATTTATGCATGTAAAAAGGATGAACAGATACAGATTTTTTATTTCTTTATTTTATTTCATACCATACAGTCAACATGACTTTGGAAATAATAAAGATCTTAAATCAGAGAACGGCACAGAACAATAACAGCAAAAAAACAACCTGTCAAAAATAACCAAGCTCAAAGTATTTCCTGATTTACGTGGAGATACGCCAACTAACTAAAGCTAAAATATCCTTTAAAGAGGTCTAGTGGAAACTCATCCCAGGTAGAATAAATTAATACTTTATTTTACTTTGGATTTTCAGTAATTTAATATTTTATTTCTGAATTATCACCTCCCATGAGTGTGAGGCTGAAGAGGATCTGGGAACATGAGAAATGCTTTCTAAAGAAAACATGACCAACTGTAACTGTAACTCTCATTTGAGGGATGCCCATACAGTCAACTCCCTGACGACAAACCACAGGCAAAAGAATATTCCAAGATAGGAACTTAAATATTATTACTAAAGGAAAAAATGAAGCACTGGCTTGTGAAATGTCAAATCCAGAAGCCTCAGCCCAGACCTGGGTTGCCAGCTTTGCAATGACACCAAACTCAGCTATCCCACGCAGTGAGGACGCTGGGTGCACACTGACCGATGTATGCATGTGTAGTAGCTTGCGCACAGAAAGCAGGAAGAAAAATTAATGAAGTCTTTGGAACGGGGACAGACGGCAGTTCTGCTCCAGACACGGTGTTTTGTGAACATCTAAGATCACTATCATGCAATCATTATCTGCCCCAGAGACGAATACTCACCTCTGCTGCAAGACTGTCCAAGCTGTGCCAGAATGAGCTGCAACAAGGAGGATCTACCTCGTCCACCTTGCAACAAGTTCTAATATCATGAAATCACAATCCCTGCCTGACATTTCATTGTGTTGATTTCTGAAATTAATAATGTAAGTATGCACCTAAATTGTTTCATAGAGTTCCCAAATAAAATTAATTAATAAAATTAAATAAAATTAATTCCTCATTAAAAAGATTAGGCATGCCTAACCCCTGGGGTTCACAAAAGCACCTTCTTTCCTAGAAGATGAACTTCCTAGTTCAAATGAAATTCTGGGACTGTTTCAGGTGGAATTTCAGGTATGCTCAGAAAAGACCCATCGCTGCTTAACTGTAATCCTTCCAAACTTATGGGATGAACTGATGTCAGCCAAGAACCCCCACGTTTTCATCAACTGATGAAAGCACTCTATCAGCAGTTTCAAGGAACCTCTGAAAGTGGAAGATATAAAGCTCAAGACCCTTGCAGCTTCAGTTCCTTACGTAAGGGGTAACTTCATTCCTACACCCTTCAGAAATTTAATTGCGTTCCTTCAGCCAAGAGGTGACAGATCCCAACAGGGATAAACACAGTGCTTTTGGCCTGCAAGCAATATCGGAAATCCAAACCCGTTATAATTTGAGAAATCTTTGCACACCAAGAAGATAATTATATCTACCATAGAAACATGCTGGTTTTATTAAAGGCTTTCCTGCTATTTATCAAGGTAGAAGAGAAAAACTAGAACTAAAGAACAGCAACACAGCTCTACTCTCAACAGCCAACTTTGCTATAACATGGAAAAATCTTGTGTTTGGGTACTGAAACTTACCATTCATTATCAGAAGTGTTGGGCTCTTAAAGACACAAAGATCTTCAATATTCCAAAAGTCATCCTAAGACAGATCAACTTAGAGGAATTACTTGTTCTACATGAGTCTACTGACCAAGACATGATGATAGAATTTTTTCATCCTAGGCAAACATTCCAGAGAGACCTCTTGTGCAGAACTCTGAATGAAAAATTGCCCAAAGCATGCCATGAAGAGTTGACCTCACCTCACAACAAACTTTCCATAAAGCAGTGAAAGGACTTTATAACACAGTAAAACTCCTAAGATAATAGTAAAGAAGAGAGAAAACAAGCAGACAAAAAAGCTGAAAGAAAAAAATGGATTAAATTGAATTGCTAACGACCAATTCTGTAATCTACCTACCCAGTTGGGGAAAAATTATTGGTTTTGAATTGGAATATGCATTCTTTTGGGGTGTAGATGTTCATGAAAAAAGGGAGAAATTTGGATTCTGGAATCACAGAGGTGTATAGTATTCCAGTGTTTTAAAGCATGATGAATCTGGAAGAGGTGCAACACCTTTTCCTTAGTTGTTCCTGTATACGACTAAGGATGTTCTCCCTGCACTGCTGGTTTTAGACCTACTCTGTTACTGAAACACTCATTAAATTAGGTAGTAACATACAGATGCATATAGAACAGCCACATAAAACAACAGAAATATGCAGCCATACATATTTATATTACACATCTACATATATGTCTAGGGACACATTTTTGATAGTTTAGTCTTCACTAAAATTACTCCTTTTTATCTCACGGAAATGACTAATTTAAGAAAAGCACTGACAAGCCATGAAAGCTTTACAGTACTGTGCATCTGAGAAAAAAAAAAAGATTACATATGCTCATTTGTATAGTCACTGCAAAGAGCAGCTAAGGTTCTTCTACCAAGGACAACAAACTCGTCAAATATTTATGTGTGCAAAGCTACGTATGAGTTTTTATAAGAGTAAATATATTAAAAATATCACCAGTTTACAAAAATAAAACAAGCCACATCTGAAAAAAATCTTCAAAAATAGTCAAAATAAAATATTAAATTACTGGAAACAAGGCCTCTAAATGTAGCTTTGATTTGAGTAGGGAAGCAGTGCTAATAAGCAGTAAACAGCACACATTCAAGAAGGCACTTTCCGTAGCAAAGCAAGTGATGCACATACTACACTAACGTATCTACTGCTACTACACCTATAGGTCAGCTTTACCAAAACAATCCACACAGAGTAAAGTATTTAAAAAAAAAAAAAAAAAAAAACACCAATTTTGGCTGATGTAAAAAAAAAAATTAAAAAAAAAAAAAAAAAAAAAAAGAACACCAATTTTGGCTGATGTATACAAGAACATTAAAAAAAACCCCAACATCTACTCCAACTTCTGTGCCAGTCGAAACCCTGCTTAAAATCTAGCATAAGTTCAGTGGTCATCGAGCACAGTACGTAAGATGTCTTTTGAATTTGCTGCTCCAACTTCATGGACTATTACCAGTTACTGAAAAAAAAACAGTGGTAGCAAAAACATATTTAATGAAAGTCTAACAAATTCAGGAAACCAGAAATGTGATTATTTTTAATACCCAGATAATGTTAAATATGTGATTTTGATGTGGAACATATGGATGGAGTGCAACGTATTTGGCTCATACTAATTTTCCTTTGAGCAGTCATAAGGACTGCATATAAAGCAGAATAATTACATTTTTATCCAATTTATTAATTCTTAAAATGTAGAGCTGAAGAGCAAAATATTTACATTCCAAAAATTTTCCTATGTGCCCAATATAATATATAAAAATGATGATGTCTTTAAGCCTTTCTTAGCATTTCTGTTTCATAGGTATAACACACCAAATGTCAGTACAAAAAAATTTACCATTGAATAACTTTCTCCAGAATGCTTTTCAATTATTCTTCAGGTTTTAAACTAAAAAAGAGCAAAATCAAAAAGTATATTTTTAAATTTATTCTTGTCCTTTTAAGTACTAAAAAGTTGAAAATCAATCCATTAACCATTAGAACTACCAAATAATAGGTTAGTAACAAGGTGGCATGACAAATTCACACGTTCTTAACATATATATTAAGTAGCAAGCTCTGGTTGTTGTGGTTTTTCCTTTAAACTAACAATTTGGTGTAAGTATCTTAAGAGGCATGATGTTCAGAAGCTGCTGAATTACAACATCTAAGATGACTCCAGCTCACAAGTCAAAACCTGAAGATTTTGAAAATAAGTTTTGAATTTTATAAATCAAAGTACTATAACTTAAAGTTTGTTGCTTGCTCTGCACCAAGACTCAAGTTATTTCAGCTCAGTATTATCAAAGAATAAACCAATATAGCATAACAAAATAAATGCCAACAATTGCTGCCACTTCAGTATCTATTATGTCCTGACTGCTCCGGGTTTTTTGGTTTTTAACCCATCAGCTGGCAAAGGTTTCCAGTGGTGATTACTGCACACTGTTCACACTGTACAGCTGATGATGAAGTGAAAATACTCTCATGAACAAATACCTTTTCCTTACCTCTTCCTGTCTGTCACCAATCCTTTTTTTTTTAAACTTTTCTGACACTACATGACTGTATTTTCTTCTGTTTGTTCATCAGTCAGAGCTGCTAGATATTTAATCAACACAAAATGTTTTTGAAAAATGTGAATATATTGTATAAATATTATGTGATCTTAACTTGTTGTGTTCACTCGAGTTTAGAAAAGGAAAGGAGCAGAAGGGCAAAAGAGCTAAAAACGAACCAGCTAAAATATTTCATTGTCTATAGGAATACACGTTGATATCAAGTCAGGAAACTCATGAGCTTCTTTTCCCACTGGAAAAAGCTGAGGTACCCAAAGTCGTCTTCACCCCAGTCTGTACGAGCAAGACCAGCCTTGAATCCCAGCTCCCAGAGACCAGGGGGAAAGGATGGAGCAAGGAAGACGTACCCTCAGTGGAAGAAGATTAGGTCAGGGAACACTTAAGCAAACTACACATATACAAGTCCAAGGGCCCAGATGGGATGTACCCACGAGTGCTGAGAAAGCCGGCAGATGTCATCACGAGGTCACTTTCAATGTTCTTTGAACAATTATGGCAACTGGGAGAGATGCCTGACGACTGGAGGAAAGCAAATGTCACTTCTATCTTCAAGAAGGAAGACCCAGGGAACTCCATGCCAGTCAGCCTCACCTCAGTCCTTGGCAAGGTGACAGAACAACTAATCCTGGAAACCACTTCCAGGTACAGAAAGGACAAAAAGGTGGCTGGAAGTAATCAGCATAGTTCCAGGAAGTGGAAGTCATTCTTGACCAATTTGATAACATTTTATAAAGAAATGACTGGCTTGGTAGACGAAAGGGGAGCAGTGGATATCATCTACCTTGATTTCAGCAAGGTCTTTGACACTGTCTTCTGCAAGATCTTTATGGAGAAGCTCATGAAGTATGGGCTGGATGAGCAGAAAGTGAAGTGGACCGAGGACTGGCTGAATTGGCTGAGCCCAGAGGGTGGTGACCAGTGGCACAAAGTCTAATTGGACTCCAGTAAGTAGCAATGTACTCCAGGGGTCAATAATGGGTCCAGTCCTATTCAGTATTTTCAATAATGGGAGGAGCGGCTGATAGGCCAAAGGGTTGGGCTGCCATCCAGAAGGACAGTTACAGGCTGGAGAAATGGGCTGACAAAAACCTCATGAAGTTCAACAATGAGAAGTGCAAAGTCCTGCACCTGGGGAGGAACAACCTCATGTGCCAGTATACGCTGTGGGCTGTCGATGTGGAAAGCAGCTCTGCAGAAAAGGTCCTGGTAGACACCACGTTCTTCTCAACGCAAATTCAAAACACAGCCTCTTACTAGCTACCGTGAAGAAAGTCAAATGTGTCCCAGCGAAAACTAGGACAACCTTGTACAACTTACTACAATAACTAATGGGATTTTTTCAGACTTCACACATAAGGAAGCTAAAGAGTTTGCTTCGAGTTCAGTTCA